ATTCCAGATTTTGGCCACCCTTACCATGAAGAAGTTTTTCCTGATATCTAGCCTGAATCTGCTCTCTGTCAGTTTGTGACTATTGTTCCTTGTTACCACAAGAGGCGCCCTGGTGAACAGAGCATCTCTGATCACTTGCTGGGCCTCCCTAATGAACTTGTAGGTGGCCACAAGATCACCTCTCAGCCTTATTTTGTAGAGGCTGAAGAGGTCCAGGTCCCCGTCTCTCCTCATAGGGCTTGTCCTGTAAGACCCTAACCATATGAGTGGCCCTCCTCTGGACCCTCTCGAGTCTATCAACATCCTTCTTAAAGTACAGCACCCAAAACTGGACACAGTACTCCAACTGCAGTTTGACCAATGCCATGTAGAGGGGAAGTATCACATCCTTGGATCGATTTGTCATGCATCTGCTAATGCATGATGAAGTGAGGTTAGCTTTGCTGATGATTTCGTCACAGATGACTCATGTTCATTTTGGAGTCCACTATGACTCTGAAATCCCTTTCTGCTTCTGTGCTGCTGGGCGGGTCACTTCCCAGCCAGTAGGTGTGCTGGATATTTTTGCGCCCTAGGTGCAGCACTCTGCACTTGTCCTTGATGTACTGCGTTCTATTGTGTACTGCCCACTTTTCCAAACTGGGCAGGTCTGCTTGCAATTGTTCCCTACCCTCCAGAGTGTGCACTTCACCCCACACTTTAGTGTAGTCCACAAATTTTGATAGAGTACACTTCACATCCACTTCCAAGGCACTGATGAAGATACTGAAGAGTATAGGTCCAAGGACCGAACCCTGCAGGACCCCACTACCCACATCCTTCCAGGTGGATACTGACCCATCTACTACTGCTCTTTGGGTCCGACCGCTAAGCCAATTTGCCACCCACCGGACCATGTAAACATCTGTCACAGCCTCTTAATTTATTTAAGAGAATGGGATGAGATACTGTACCAAAGGCCTTGCTAAAATCCAAGAAAACAACATCCACCTCTACTCCTGCTTCTAAGCATTCTGTGACTCTGTCATAAAACAAAACCAGATTGGTCAGGCATGATCTACTTGCTACAAATACATGCTGGTTTCCTTGCTGCATTATTTTTCCCATTGGACTCCCACAAATATAATCCTTCATAATCTTTTCAAAGACCTTTCCAAGGATGGAGGTGAGACCAACTGGCCTATAATTATTCGGATCCTCCTTCCTCCCCTTCTTGAAAATACAGACCACATTGGCCCTTTTCCAGTCCCCTGGGACCTGACTTGAGTGCCATGAGTGCTCAAACAGCCATGCCAATGGTTCTGCTATGACACTGGCCAACTCCTTCAGTACTCTCAGATGCAGCTCATCTGGGCCATTGGGTTTGTTCTGATTTTTCCTTAGAAGAATTTCATTAGCACAAAGCTGTGGTGAGCCCCATTATGGGGACATCAGCTTGTAGCTAAAGAATGGCCTAAAAGAACTGCCAGCCAAGGGGTCTCATCCCCAAAATGGCAGGACCTGCAGGTGAGAAGCAATCACCTATAAGTGGAGCCTTGCAACGATAACATCCTTTCTGGCCCTGGATGTGGTAAGGGTAGGCTAATGGGGAGGCTGGAGCCCCATGAAGAAACCAAAGGTGTGGGACCTCGTAAGCTACCCGCAGGAACTCTCTCACCAGAAGAACATCGAGTCATGGCAGACGAGCAGGAGCAACTATCAGAACACACAGGTGACACTATTTAGGATCCCACCCTGATGTTGTACGGGGGTAAGGTGCTGGTTAAGAAAGCACTTAAGCCCTACAATACATACCTGCGACAATGACCATCTCTCTTTTCCAGTGGTCTTGATGTTCCACAAATTAACCTATCCTTTCTTCTGCAATTCTGAAAGAAAAATGTGGAGCACCTGTGACTGGATGTTAACGGTGTGAAGCACAACACAAGACTGAGTGTGCATGAGGAGATGGGAGTGCCACGGGTGGCTAGCAAGGGCACGGGTGATTTGAAAATGGCAGGTGGTGGGCTGATGCACGCCATGGAAAGCCGTGGTTACTCAAAGCTCTTTACTGTGGTAACCAAAATGGTATATAGAATATTAAGCACGGATACTCAGAACTGTGGTTGGCGAGGGAAACTTCTAACACTGTGTGGAGCTAGCATTAAGGTATAAGCCATTTAATGTTAATCTCCAATTTTGATAGCCTTGGGTCAACTAGTTGGCTTTATCCTATCATGGTTTTATACATGAGACTACTGGAGTTGCAGTAATAGCCATCCTAGCAGTACAGGAGTATAGGAATAATCACTGCAAGAAACTGCCACTCAGAGTGCAGGAGCAGAAAACCCAACAGATACATCTGAAAATGAGCCAAGTCTAGAAGGGTCTCCAACACCAATTAGGAATAAGCCAAGCTGGGTATGCTTGTCTTGCCTGAGAGCAAAACATGCCATTAGTTCCCCAGTCATAATAATCACCTTACAATTTTTTACTGAATATTTATTTTTCCACTAACAAAGAAATTAAAAACAACAAGATGGTACCTACAAGTCATTGTCAGGGCCATCTCTGGGGAAGGGGGGGGGGGGGTTGTGCAAATTGGGGCAACTGCCCCAGGCCCAGTGCTTTGGCAGGCCTTGCAGACAGTGCTGTACAGGCCCCACCGCAGTCACTGCCGAGAGCTGCCGGCTCCAACCACTCACCACCACCACCCCCACACTCTGCCAGCTCTGGCCAGTCACCACCCCCTCCCCCCACCGGCTAATATGCCCCAGGCCAGACAGCTCTGGTCATTGTAACAAGTGGGCCATCCCAGGGCTGGTCCTACCACCCCAACAGCAACCATCAGCTCCTCCAGTATAAAACTAGAACAGAAGTGCAAACAACCACTTCTAACTCAAAGCACCCCTCTGGGTCATCTTACCATTGGAACTACCTGACATGGCCTGCAGCTCCTTCCCCTGCCCCTGGCAGGAATTCTTCTCCCTACAGAGTTCAGGACTGTACTGTCCCCTCTACTTCAGAAACCCAGGCTTATATCCCCTGGGCTCCTCCTCTTCTGGTCAGGTGTTCTCCTGAATGGCCACAGGTGTGCCCTCTCACCTTGGTAGCCAGCTTACTGTGCCTAGGCTACAGTTGATCCCTTGCTGCCTCCCGTTTCACAGCTAATTCCTTTTCAGCTGCCTGGAATCCTTTCTGCTGTAGTCTCTCTCTTAAAGTAATAAGAGCCCCTGGCTCCCTGTTACACTTCTCCACTTCCAAGTTGTTTGGTTTTTCAGCCCTGTTGACTTCACTAATTAGGTACTGATTTTTCATTACACTTTTTATTTTAAAATTGAAAATGTCTGTTGTGGCCCTGTTCTATTTAATTCAGACTGAATTAACTTCTAACCCAACAATCCAAAATTCAATCCCACAATCAGCTCTTCTCTGGTAATGTTCCTCTTTATACAATGGAACAAAAATCCATGGTGCTTACTTATGCTTTACAGTAAATGTGGAAGAATCATCCTTCCCTGAGGTAAAGGAAGCACACTGGAACAGTAAAAAAAATATATATATATATATTCCTCTCATTAGGGTAGCATATCATGCACCATGCTTTAGGTTCATCTGATGGCAAAACTTTCTGTTCAAGCTCTGATTTACAATGATGGAGCAACTGATTCACTAATAATGTATTCTCCCCAATGAAAAAAATATGCCTTTCACTGATTCAAGCCACAGCTTATGGATCTCTGTGATGAGTAAGGGCCAGATTCACCCATATTTACTTATTCTGGGTATTGTCATACTCCCTGATTTCAGTGGCCACATCCAGTTGTGCAGGGGCCTAGCACTTGCAGCAGCACATATAATAGCAGCACAAATTTGTGCTACTACTTTGTGCTGCAGCACATGCCTCTGCATGTGCATTTTGGTGAGGAATAAATTTGGGTGAACTGCCCTTTCCCCTCTCATCCCAGCTTCTGGTGTGCTGGAGCAGCTGGGTCACAAATGAAATAGTAGAGATGCTCTGGCCAGCAGCCAGAGCATCTCCCTGGAGGACCAAGGCTCCATTTGTTCTGGTGCATGCTATTGCACTTTTTTCTCGGCAGTTTTTTTTGCTACTGGGGAATCCCAGTAGCAAATTTTGCCCCCATGCTGCAAATTTGCAGTACAGGGCACATTTTAATGTTCAGCACATGTGATTTGTGGTGGTGGAAAGAGGTTTGCAGCACCACAAATAACACATGCCTACATGTCTGAACGCAGCCAGCGGGGTTAATTTCCCATGGAAGTTTCTACTCTGTAAAGGTTGGCAGGATCTGGTCCTGAAAGGGGACAGGATAACAGTCTGCAAACTTCGAAGGTAAATACCACAAAATTCATTATTTATTGTGGTTCAAGAGGAAGTGCCTAGAAATTATGAAATGAAATTAAAAGTGAAAAAATAGATTGTATATCAGGAAAAACTTCCAGATGCTGATATAGATTATACTATTGAAACATTTCCTAAAGGAAATGGTGAAAACCCCAGAAACTTGAATTTTTAAAAGTTGGTTTGACAGTGCAATAGAACGTCATGCATTTTTTTAAAACTGGATGATATTGATTTATTCCATGATTTTATGTTCTTTGCCTCCTCCTTACTCCCTGACAGACGTTTTCCTGTTCACTAAGTAGCCTGCCTAGCAAGTCCTTTCAATAAAAATTGTTCTTTACTGTCACCCAGAATGTTAGTCCCCTGTTTGGAGTAATATTGTACCACTTCCTACCTACTTCATTGAACTTAATTCCATCCTAATGCTTTCCTTTAAGGTGCTGTTTCCATCTGTCAAGTAAAAAGGAAAAAGAATTAGTTAGGTGCTATTTAGTAGTTCTGTTAATGAGAAAAACATCCTTTCAGAGCACTGCCTGCAACCTGCATATGTGATGGAGTGAGCCAAAGCACAAATGTTCTCATTCATGCTGTTTAATGTCACATCCTGAAGTTTGCAGTACCAGTGGGAGGGGTTTCAGTTTTATAGGACTGGTTCACATACCTCTCATTTCTTCTCAATCCTTCTGTGTACATGGTGACATTTACATGCGTTCTATTTCTAGCATTGTTCTGCAGCCATTCTTCATTTTTCAGTTACCTAATCTATCAATGTGTACCCATCTCAATGTGCAAGAAGTGTTTGCCTTTTAAAGCCAAGTTTTTTTACAACGAGCTGATTAATGATGTTAGCATTGTGCATTTGCTTTGCAGTGAATACTAAGGAAAAGATCTACTGACTTTTCTCCATACATTGTAGATACTGAAGGCTTGATCCTGCAAGATGCTACTTATGTGAGTAGGCTCCTCAGATCAGCATGAAGCAAAAAAGAAATAACTGTATGTTAGTCTCCCACATGGCTCCTGATATAAAATGTATACATATGTAGCAGAAAACACCCTTTTCCTTTTGCCTGCAGTTGCTCTCCCCTCTTTCGATATGTTTTTCCTCTTCTACCTTTTCTTCCTTCCTCTTTCTTTCACTTCAAGATAAGGAATTGTGTTTTAAAATGTGTGTGCATGCATTTTGTATCTCCCCTTGTATTTCGGTATTTTTATCTATTTGTGTGCCATGGCATTACTTTTGTAGCTTATATTTTATACTCCTCACCTTTCAACTAAATGTGTTTAGTTTCAGAAGTAAGTTATACTTTGTAACAATGTTAACAAGGGCAGGAGTCAAACTGCTGCTTCCCTGTATCAGGCGGGCCCCTGAAAGAGCGAATGAATCAGTGATTGAATGCGTAACATAGTAGCAGGCAGCAATTAACACCTAGGAAAACTGCAGATCAACCAACGGAAGAAATCAATAGAAGACAATGTAGCAACCGGGAAATCTGTAAACTTCACTGTTCAAGGGCTAAAAGTCCTGGTCTGAGTTAATCAATACCGGGGACCAACTTTTGGGCGGAATATCTCCAGATCAACCACTCCCAGAGCCCTATTCAAAATTAATCAACGGACTCTCAATCGTACATGTGGACGACACCCGGGGCTGACAGATGCCATCCAGTAGCCACCAAGGGGGAAGTCCCACAAGGGTCAACGACCCCTGGATTGGGCAAACCTGAAAACTGGGGAGTCACCAAAGTCTGCCAAGGACAGAGAAAAAAGCAGTGAAAAGTAACCCTCGGCGGCGCCCTCTTGATCTCCAACCTGACCAGCACCCGACCTGTCCAGCCAGAAGGACCAGCCGGCGACCCCCTTCTGGAAGATAACACCACGCTGAAAGAAGCCTTGACGGCAGACTCCAGCGCCTGTGGGATAGGTATACCTGACTCTTGTAGCTCGCTACTGTGTGTGCATGGGCGGGGACCAGCCCCAAGGTTTATGATTTAACTTTATTACAGTGTTTCAATCCGCCTAATAAACCAGAATTTTAAGGATCCCGAGTTGGACATTTGTAGCCAACACATACATATAGATAAACTTTAGATTTTTTTCTTCCAGTCTTCTGGCAGTTTCTTTACTGTAGGGCAGTAGGATTCAAGCCTGCAATCCAGCCCCTAACAACTATGAAACTATGAATGCCAGTGAAGGTAAAACTCTTGCTGGCCATAGAATAATTTTACCTATGAAGGATTAATCCCATAGTACTATAACTATTATACAGTTGTGATCTGTCCTGGTATGTGTATCACCTATGTATATGTAAAACCTGATTTTCCTGTAATACACAGGGACTAATCCTCAAAATTGAAACTAGTGAAGTAGGGATCCAGCCAAATGAAACTGGTGGAAGAGAGAAAAGAATCAGACCCATTAATACAGGGACAATAGAACTGGTGCTGGGGCAATAGAATGACCCATGAGCAACATGACTGTTGTCTCTAAACCTCAGTCTAATCTTTTTATTTT